CAGTATAATGCAATAAAATAAAATCACAAGAAAGCGACCAATTCAATAATAAAAACATTGTTATGATGATCCATATTTCTTAGCCTAGTTGTTTAATTTTGTTTTGTAAGTCATTATTAGTTTTATTTTTATTGCACTTTTGTCAACAGTTATGAATGTAGTGAGGTTAAGATTCTCCCTCATTTTCCATCTTCTTAATGTTGTATTGGAAGAAGTGCAGTCTCAGCAGAGAGTCCTTTTAAAGCCAGCTCTTGCATGTTATGCCTGTCTCAGAGGGCCCCAGTCTGTTGATCTGCAGTGCCATGGTATAAAGTCTGCCTTCTTAGTCAGGCTTTTTCCTGTGGAGTGCTGGTTGCATTCTGTTGTGAGGCAAGAATTAATTTAGTTGATGTTAGTCAATATCTGTTAATGTTTGTTTTATTGTATATGCTTTCAAAAGCCTTGAACTGAGTATATTTTACAAATCTAACCAAATTTGTTTCTTAAGTGAGTGGGAATCATCCTCAGGGATCCTTCTTATATCCTTAACTTCTCTACTATAGCTTTGTGTAGTAGTAAGTTATCTTCTAGGGTCTTGTTTCCACTAGGAAGAAAAGGTGTAATTTTAGCATGAAATAGGTGGTCCAGATAAACCAGAACTCCTCTCTAGAGTTTCTTTGCCACACTAACGTGTATTTTTGGCCTAGGGTTTTGTCTACACTAGACTTTTTTTTACCTTGTTTTAATTGATTGCCAATTAATTCAAGATAATTTATTATCACTTTTTGTCCTTCTCATGCCAGTGTTAGCGCACAGGGCAGAAATTCGTCTATTCTATTCTTCTATCATTTCTTCTGTCATTCTTCCATCTACTTTATGGTGTTGAGATCAGCTGTTCTGTCCTCCCTACCAAGGCTTTTTTTTAAGGGGTCTCTTGAGTACCCTCTCTTTTTCATACCAATTGGTTTCAACTCAGTGACATCATGTGGGAGTCTGTGTGTTGGTATCCAGAATAAAGCTCCCAAATATGTCCCACAATTCCTTCTGGTTTTGGTGGAGATGAGATACTGGTTGGTAATTGATTAGATCTCTTCATTAGTGATGAAGTCTTCCCCTTCAGTGCCCAGAATCTTTCATAGCCACTTACTTTCGAAGCAGCGTAGTTTTCTAAGTAACATTTTAGTAGATCCTGCAGTTTTCACAGCCTTATGTGAAAACTGAGATTGTGTTTGAGTTGAAAATTCTCAGCTTTGTTCTGGTACTGTGCATCTTTGATTTCCATACATTGTTGAGTGTAAAGAATGCTGTAGATGCTTTTACTATCCTTGTCGATCCCTTTTTGACGTCTCCATTGACTAGTAGGTGCTGCCCAGGTAGATGAACTGTTCTTCTTTCTTTTTGTTTTTGCCTTCTAATGTGATATTGCTGCTTTGACATCTGGGTCTCAGGGATCTTTGTTTTAGCATAACTGATTTTGAATCCTGGTTGGCCTGCTCTTTTTGTCAGGTTATCTGTCTTTGTAATTTTTCAGGGTTGTCATAGTGCAGTATCATTGGCAAAGTCTAGCTCTTCAAGGCATTTGCCATCTACCCATTCTGTACCAGTGTTTGTATTGCTAATACACTTGATTATCCAATTTATGGCAATTCCAAACAGCAGCTGAGAATGAAAGCAGCCCTTTTTCACTCCAGTGTGCACTTTGAACTTTGTTGCCTGGTTATTCACCTTTACAGAACATTTCACATCACTATACAGGGCCTTAATGATGTTGACAGCTTCAGCTGGGATTCCAGGGACTGGAGAATACTCTACAATGTATATCTGTGTAGGCTGTCAAATCCCTTTTGAAAATCAATGAAATTGATACATTCCTCTATGATGGTCTTTAGTGTGAATATCTGGTCTACATAGGATCTCCTAGACCTGAATCCCGCACGTTCTGTAAGCTTAGCACCCACTGTTTCTTTCATCCTGTGTAGTATCTGTCACGGAGTCACTGGGGCAATGCTCTGGAACTACTCCATATGAAGCCAGCCAGGACTCTGGAGGGGCATGCCTCCTCTCTCTGAGCATACTGTTTCCAGGGCAAGAAGCTTACACAGGTTCAATCTTCCTGGGTCTGACCTTGGAGCATTCAGCGTCCCCTTCCACACTGTGCACTTCCCACAGCGAGTCTGTCGGGGCGAGGCTCCTGGGGAAGCCAGAGCGCTCTGCACCACAACTCCACAGTCAGACGTGACTCTCAGCCAGCTGGTAAAACGGAAGGTTTATTCGTCGACAGGAACACAATTAGAACAGAACTTGTTAGCACAGAAATCAGTGACTTTCAGCCAAGTCCATCTTTGGGGGAGGGGAGCCCAGAGCCCCTGCGCTCCAAGCCAGCTGAGACTGGCTCGCTTCCAGTTCCTGGCCCCTGACCTGCCCGTTGCTCCTCTTCCGGCTTTTGTCTCCCTTCCCAGGCCAAGAGTCACCTGGTTGCATCCCCCTCCTGGGTCTCAGGTTACAAAGGGGCAGCCATAGCATCCGTGCAGGCAGCTGGAGCAGCCCCTGCAAAAGTAACACACCCTTATTCCCACACGTGTGTATTGGTGCAGTACACACGGAAACTGCGGCACACACAGCATTCATGCAAAACAGTAAGGCTCTCATAGGCTCACGTACAACATAACAAGGGAAAATCCCCACTACGTCACAGTATCACACTGCAGAAACTTTCCCTACAACAGAGAGTAGTGTAACTCCTCTCCAGTTGTTACAGTCAATGAGATAACCTTGTTGGGGTATTCTGACAATGATTCCATGTTTCTACTAGTCGGGAGGGGAGGGAAGGTGTCCTTTTACCAGACTTAATTAAACAGTTCTTTCAGATTTGTTAGCATTGTGTTATCAACTGCTTTTAGCATTCCTGCTGTGATTTGGTCATCTGCTGCTGCTTTGTTGTTTTTCAGCTTCTTGACTACAGCCTGTACTTTCAACATCTCTATTGGGCTGATGTTAACGTCAAGTTGATCAGTTTAGCATATTTCATCAAAATCTGGTGCCGAGGTGGGGCTGGGTCGGTTGAAGACTCTGCCCGTCTATTTTTCTATTAGTTGTAAGCATTTTTCCATCTTTGCCTTTGACTGATCAATTTCTTATTTTGAAATTTTCACAAAGGTTTCAGTCATTTAGTAAATGTCTCTGTGGTTTCCTTTCATAGCAGCATTTTCAGCTTCAGCTGCTAGGTTTTCAGCATATCTCCATTTATCTTTCCTTGCATTGGTTTTCACTTTTTTTGTCTGCTTTCTTATATTCCTCCTTTGGTTTTCCCAATATTTCATTGGTCTTAGTATTCAGGAGTTTTCCTTGCAGTGCTTTCCTTTCCTTAATGAGATGCCTTGTCTCTTGGCTTATCCAGTTCTTGCTCTGTCTATGTTCATATCCAACTGTTGTTCCTGCAGCTCCAATCCCCTTGCCTCTGAGTGCTGTCCATTTTTCTTAAGGTTCAGTCTGTGTCTCACTTTGACCTGCCTTTGGCAGTGCTTCAAACCTGTTCCTTAATTCAAGATGGAATTTCTCACAATAGTCTTTCATTTTCAACTTTGTACTGTTGATTTTATTTGCCACTTCCTGGTTAAAAGGTGATCTTCCTTAATGTTATTTTCAGTGCAGCAATGCAGAGATTGTGGCCACTGCTAATATTTGCTACTTGATGTGCCCTTGCATCTTGGACAGATGACCTGAATCTTCAGTTGATGCACACATGGTCAATCTATTTTACTTTTTGTTTTGTTTTAGCATCTGGTGAATTCCGTCTTTCTTTGTGAGGGAATAGGGTGCTTGCAAGAATTAGGTTGGATACCAGTCACAGTTCAATGAATCTCTTGCCATTTTGGTTGATGATTATCAACCCATGCTTCCCTGTCCACTCTTTCCACATCCTAAGTTAATGTTAAAGGTCACCCATCACAAGGAGTAAATCATGTTTTGTTATTCCTTTAATCACACTCTGGAGGCGATAGAAGAATTCCTCTTTATCATTGAAGCTGTGTTCCTCTGGCAGAGCATAGTGCTGTCTGATTGACACTTTTGGTCTAATCTGGTTTGGAGTCTGGCATATATGATGTGTTGGTTGTGTATGCCCAGTTGATGATGTATGCCCAGTATGTCATAATGAGTGCTACTTCCACTCAATGTTTGTTATCACAATGACTTGAACCAATGACAGTTTTCTTTTCTTGCTAGAAGTGCTTCTTGTCCACACCTGGTCAGTCTGTTCTCACTGATGTCCAGGATTTTGAGTACATAATTATCCATTTCCCTCATGATTTGTGAGATCTTTGGTGTTTGAAATGTTGTTCTCGCATTCCAATAACCAATTTTGAGGTGTTTTCTTGCTGCCATCATCAGCCTTTGTGGGGTCCTGGCTTCCACAGGCTGGCTTTTTCCAGAACCCTTCATGAAATATGAGGCATTGGCAGCCATCTCTAACAACGTGGTAGCCTGGTTCCATTTCTATAACCAATGAGGTGTTTTTTGTTTGTTTTATATGTGGCTAGATGTTTGCCTTGTCCTTCCCATTTTATCCAGGTTTAGGAGCAGCAGCCACATCAAAGGTGCAGCAGGTGGGGTTAACAAAAGGTAAACACACTCATAAAGGTATAAACACTTCTCTAATGCTGGCAATCAATTTAATCAAGGTTAAAAAAAAGTCAGGTGTAGACAAACCCCAGCTGAGGGCTAGACACTAGTTCTCATTCTGATTAAACATGCTGCTAGAAGGTACTGTAAGAGCCATGACATATGCCTCTTCTCTGTGAAAATGAATGAGTACATCCATGCCACCCACACAGTTTCTAACAGGTGGTGAAAATACAATACCCATCTCACAGACTTTTACGAACAGTAGTTAATATTTATACTTATGTGAGGATTGTCAACTGCAAGCCCCTTTTTGGGTGTTTTAGCATTAATGCTTTGAGATAATTAATATATTAGCTTGAAATAGAATGATATATTTTTCCTATATTTCACATTTTCAGGCTTCTTTCCAACGCTCTAATAGTCATGACAAAGTGAGGAAAATTGTTGCAGAAGAGGGTCGTACAGCAAGAAACCTTATTGCATGGAATGTCCCACTGGAAAGCAAAGAGGACGATAGTAAGTATTGAACTTCCTTTCCCACAACCTTCCCTTACTCTCCCACCCAAAAAAGAAGTTTAAGTTTGAAGTAAAAATGTTTATACCTAAAAAAATGTATCTTAAATTTGATAACTGCTTAAAACATAGATATCAATATTTTAAAGTAATTTCTTCAGTATGCTTCCTGTTTAATTCAATTATAATTTTGTAAAACATATACAAAATTTGATAAAGATGAAATAAAAGGTATCTTTACTGTTTTCTCCCATTTTGTTGACTGTAGCTAGGCTGGTTACAGTTAGCCTCCTATGTGCCCCCTTGTGAGCTACAGGGAGTCTGCCTCAATTTCCCCTCTTGGACTGTTCAAATACACTTCAGGCTTTTTGTTGGTCAAAAATACATTCTTTTGGGACTTGGTTTATTAATATAAAAGAATCTGTAAATAAAACTCAAAACCCCAAAACAAAATCCATTGATAGGTCCACACAGCCCAAGGTTTTTCTTCCTCCTCCCAGGCCTCCCTGCCTAGAGGGCTTTGCAAGTTCCTTCCCTGCTTGGTGAGGGTATCTCCCCAGCCTCCCTTCTTGGAGGGTTTTCCTCATTCTCTGCAGACTATACGCCACAGCTTCCTGCTCTTTTTATGAGTCCTCTCAGGTGGGGCTTAGCCTCAGGTACTACAGCCCTTGGGGTAAGCCACCCAGTTACACTGATGTTTATCAGTACATCCTACTTACTACAATAAGCTTATCATAAAAAATATTGGAAAATTAGAAAAAGAGGATAACAAAGACTGAAACAAACATTATTTAGGCTATCTCCCAATCTTCGAAGGATAGGCTTTGAGTAAGCCAACAAATTATCTCGGTGTAGACCAACATTCAAATACATTTGTAAGAGTTTTTAGTATTACTTTGGTCTATGGTGAACAGTTCTGAAGATTTTTTTTAGGGGAGGGAATATGGGGGGACAGAAAATGAAAATGTGGATGCCAGATTTTCAGGACTTAGGAAAATCTTTTGAGCAGCCTTGAGACTGTTCAGATTTTCTCCTCTGAATAGGCTTGATGATTCAAGGAGCCATGAAGTAACTTTTTGGCTTTCCTTCTTCCCCTCAGCTGCACCAGGTGCCAAATGGCTGGTCTTGAGGACCTACCCCTAAGTATTTCTTCAGCCTAGCTGTCCTCCTTAGGATGGTTCTTTTTACTTTTCTGCAGTAAAGTTCTGTGAAAAAGATACTACAATGGGAAAAGTTATGCTTATGTTATAGAACAATTAACCCTCCATCTCATGAAACACAGAATAACTTATGTTCCAATATAGAGTCCTGTACATGAATGTTCTAAATGGCATATATGTTTACATTAGGATTCATAGTAAGGCATATCATATGTTTCATTTAAAAATCTTAGTGCTATAAATTTTGATTTATGAAAGAACGATGTTGGAGGAGAAATTCCGACAATAGGAACTTCAAAAAGAATCAAGACAAACGTAATTTACTTGGTACTGTTTTTTTCAGAAGGAACAGCAGCTATACAAACCTTGGGTCTTATGCTTCCCCTCCATGGAAGGCAACACGGGGTCAGGGTCGGGGAGGCGCACGAGAAGGGAAAGTGCAAGAGCAAGACATAATACCATCCCTTTAGGGTACAAACCCTGGAGGTAGTGAGTATGGTGGGAATGGGTAAAAACTTATTCAGATATCCCATCCTGGAAGTGCTGACAGCACAGAGAGAAAGAGACAGGAAACATCAGGCAAATCCTGAAATGCTGTAGGAGCTTCAGCACTGGGATATTCAGGATCCTTACCTGAAAAGGAGTACTTGTGGCACCTTAGAGACTAACCAATTTATTTGAGCATAAGCTTTCGTGAGCTACAGCTCACTTCATCGGATGCATACTGTGGAAAATACAGAAGATGTTTTTATACACACAAATCATGAAAAAATGGGTGTTTATCACTACAAAAGGTTTTCTCTCCCCCCCACCCTACTCTCCTGCTGATAATAGCTTATGTAAAGTGATCACTCTCCTTACAATGTGTATGATAATCAAGGTGGGCCATTTCCAGCACAGATCCAGGTTTTCTCCCTATTTTCCACAGTATGCATCCGATGAAGTGAGCTGTAGCTCACGAAAGCTTATGCTCAAATAAATTGGTTAGTCTCTCAGGTGCCACAAGTACTCCTTTTCTTTTTGCGAATACAGACTAACACGGCTGTTACTCTGAAACTGGTCCTTACCTGAACACTCTTGTTGAACTCTGGCAAACAAGGAAGATAGCTATATCCTTTGTGTTTATCAACTATAAAACAAAATGAACATGGATTACAATTGCCCAGTATTTCAAAGGACATTGAGACTCTACGGTTTCAGCCTCTGACCTTTTTACTGCAGCCTTATCCCAACTGTCCTTCCTCACTGGAGTTCCTGTCTGAAGTGTATAAGCACAGTCTTCATGGCTTTTATATAGCAGAATTATCAATACTGCATGTGTTTTTACTGACTGGTTACTGCTGACATGTGAATCCTTAAATTAGCTATATGTAATAAGACAAGGCAGAACAATGGCTAGTTGTTAAGAAGTGGCTGTCAAATTTATTCTGTCTCTCTCTGAATCAAGCTGGAGAAAAGGGACAACTGCTATTTCCCTATCAGGTACAATACACTGAATTTTCTATGAGAAGGGGAAGAAGAAGGAAAGAAACTAAATTAAGCCTTTCTATTTTCATTGGGAGACTCTAGCCTCCTATTTCAGTATTCGCTTCAGCAACACTCCTTCACTGTGTTTACCAATTAAACAGGGAAATTAGAGAGGTGTCCTTTCTGTTCTTGGGAAGGGTTGTAAAAACATGAGGCTGTACAAGTTGAGAAGAGATAGTTTTACATGATTTTACTCCATCTCTATCACACCTACAAAGAAAGTAAGAGAATTTCAAGTGTAAAGAAGGGAAAGGGGTCTATCCCTATGGTCTGAAGGAGCTCAAATATCTAAACAAAATAAAAACAAGGGGATGGCCAGAAACCCTTTTGTCCCCAGTACTGTTCCGTGAAAGCCCCACTTCCCCAGGTCCCAGATGATTAAATGGGAAAAAATTAGAGAACACGTCATAGCTCAAACACTGGGATCTCTGCCTAGTTTTAGAGTAAGTTACTATAAACTGTTTGCTTTCTCTGTGCACAGCAATGAGTTGCAAATAATTCTTGCTAAGAAGGAACAGGTATTTTCAGAGTCTTACAGTGTGAACACATTCATGAGAATGGGATGTTGCCACTGTTCAAGTGGAAGAATGTTTATGTCTAAACCATAAATATTAAACTGAAAAATCTGTTAACAGTAAATTAGAGACAGCAGAGCCATCAGAACAAGGAAATGTATTGATTGCATTGTTAACTGGCCCAGTTGTGCTCAAGTACAACAGTCTCTCTTTAGTTAGGTGATTACTTGGCACTCATCACCATAGTATCTAAGACAACTTTGTTGCTATCTATTTTTAAAAAATAAACATAGATGCTGTAGTTGCCTTTTTTAATGTTTTATCTGCATAAGTCTCATTATGTTATTGGGGGTCTGTATTCTGGTGTCTCAGAATTAAAATGTTAATTAATGAGAGGCTCTCCCTTTTGAATATGCACCTTAGATTGAGATACAAAACTTTTTCTGTAAGTGCCTTTGTGAGCAAAGTTGATCTGTATATATGAATATGAAAACATTTTGAAAAATTACAATTATAAGAGCTCCAGTGCATATACAAACTGTCACTTGAAAAAAAAAATCTTCTAACAAACTTTGTCCATGTCAGAGTAATAATATTTAACAATTATATAATGTTTATCATTAGAGAACATCAAAGCATTTTCAAAACTTTAGATTCAAGATTTTCCATAAACTGTTCTGCCTTTAAAGGGACACCATCAACTTAAGAATCACAGTTCTTCCTGAATTGTTTTTAACCTACTACTGTTACAGAAATGGAGGAGAGAAAAACATTTGGAAAATTAGGAAAGTGTTGTAAAACTGCAGAAATTGACAGAAGGATTCAGGTGCAGTATCTGAAACTTCTTTAAATTGGGTAGGTTTCAGCTGGATAATATCTATTTAATTTTCCCTGAATATGAAAACGAAAGTAGGCCATCACCACTCAGAATCAGTGTTAAAATGTCCAAAAAGCCACAATGTGGAGGCCTTGAATTTTCACTGGTTCTCTTGGAGTGCCGTTTCATAGCTGTACTTTTTCAACTATGATATTAATACAGTATAATTAGTTTGATAGAATTGTTGGATATGAATATTAATTCTGCTTTTGAATTATACCTTAGTGGTGTGCAAGATCAGTGCAAACTGTTGTCTTCCTTGGAGACTGAAAGCTTATACAGCATCTGGGTATTCCTTTTTTCCCTAGACCTGTATTTTGGAAGAGCCAACATTATAAAATGTCTTCCTCTTAAAATACTAGTATGTTTGAATATTTTTTCTGTGATAAGTACTGATGTACCTAAACTAGTGTAAAACTGAGTAGAAGTGCTGCATTAATTATTGTGGAGCCAGGTCCTTAGCGTATGTTGTCGCTGGCCAAGCTAAATGTCAACACCAAAGTGAATACATAAAATGGGATGATGTGAGGGAGGAGGGGGATTTTTTTGTAGCACAAAAACCTCAAATAAAAAGGAGGAATCATAGAAATGCAGGGCTGGAAGGGTACTTGAGAGCACTGAAGCAGGACCAAGTAAACCTAGGTCATCCCTGACAGGTATTTATCCATCCTATTCTTAAAAACCTCCAGTGATGGGGATCCCACAACCTTCCTTGGAAGCCTATTCCAGGATTTAACTACCCTTATAGTTAGAAAGTTTTTCCTATCTAACTTAAAACTCCCTTACTGCAGATTACGCCCATTATTTCTTGTCCTACCTTCAGTGGGCATGGAGAACAATTAATCACTGTCCTCTTTATAACAGCCCTTCACATATTTGAAGACTATTATCAGGTTTCCTCTTAATCTTCTTTCTCAGGACTAA